ATTCCATAAAAAAAAACGTAACAAGCATCAGTGGACAGAGATTTATAAGCAATAATCTACCCTATAATACCCAAGGCACCTGTATGGCCCCAGTAATAAATCATATTCCAATCCATACTAGGCCATAATGTCTTGTGCAGATAATTTTAAGGAAACAACAAGTTAACTTCTGGTTGTCAATGGACTTCCCCGAAACAAATCATCCGGCTATGGAGAGCAACCTTTTTTGTTTACACGGTGCTTTTTACACCTTAAAATCACTTTTACGCACAACCAATGGGGAATGTGGGTCAGCTGGAGCTAAATATCTGTAGAGTGTTGGGTGATCCGAGCACAGCCGGATGCTTGTGTCTGAGAGGAGCGTGTTATCAAAAGCAGGGCACCAGCACTTTCCCAAAATCACCCACCATGCATGATCAAGAAGTCATTTCCTGCGCATCGCCAAACTACGTCCCACTTTGGGGAATGAAAACAGACTAAACACACAGACCTGTCACCTCCTTGCTGTCTGCCCGATCACATTAAGTCTACAGCAGGGAACATAACGGGATGACCTACCGAAATGAGATACTGTGCACTGTCAGCGTCCGGCTTCCCCTCGTTTCCCTCGTGCCCCTGGTCCGCCTCTCCTTCCAGTCAATACGCAATGTGCTCAGATCAGATCACAACGGATTGGTGCGCCTTTTCGCTGCGTCCTGCTTCCAGAGTTGCCGGGGATGGAGCGACCATTTGCCGGGATCCTGGGCCGGGGGTGCGAGGCTGAGGCATCCGCAGGGAAGAGGAAAGGGATGTGGAGGAGACAAAGGAGGAAGAGGCGAAGCGCTGGGTGCGAAACGCGAGAAAGAACGAAAGAGAGGAAGAGACGGAGAGAGAGGAGAGCAGCAAAGCACTGCAGCGACGGGGAGGAAACACCGCCGGAGAGGAGGCAGACAGCAGCTCCCTGACTCGCTCCCGCACTCGCTCACGCACATGCGCGCGCGAAACATTGCCATCATATAAGGATACGGAGCGCCATCTTCAGGTGGCACGTGGAGGTGAGGTTGGGAGTTGTCTCATGCATTTAATGTGTGTTAATGAGCATATTTAAACTGTGATTTATTTTTGACAGGGTGTGTGTCAGTGTACCTCCACGGGAAAACCTTTCTTTTATTAATTGTTCTGACTGACATTTCTCCACATTTTACATCAGAGCAAGTGCTGTGTGCATGTCATTAATTTCGAAGGTCATCCTTGGCAACAATTAGAACACACACAAGCAATAATTTAGGCCTACTTTGACCTTGACCCTTCGTCCTATACCCTCAATACATCTTTAACCCTTTGCCAAATTCTGGTTTCATCATATAATTACCTTATAAGGATGTGATTCAATTCCTATGTGGGAGATTAGTCCACATATGTGTACAGATGTTTCCCCTCAACACCACCGCCACTTACCCCACCCATGTTGTCATACACCGCCCCTTCCCCCCTCTGCACATATTCACACTCCATGGCAACCAGATCCCTGTTGGGTTCTGATGATGATAATATCACCTGACCTGCCCTCCATCATCTTTCCACCCCTATCCCCTTCAGTTTGCAAACACACACGAGCACACACACAAACCTGGTTTCCCAAGGTCAAGAATGGCTGAGTATTTCAGATACGTTGCTATATCATATTCTGCACAGTCAGTTCTGCTGGCTCAGACAGATTGAGGATTTATTTCCTTCTTCCTTTCCTTTTCCTGCGCTCTCCTTTTTCATTTCTTTCACTTTGTTCTCTCTTTGGAGGCATTCAAATGTCTACATCATGTTGAAATATGGCCAATGTGCACACAGTGTCGTTTCTGTCTCCTGTTAATTCTGATTCTTGTCTCTTCTTTTCTTTTTTTATCAAATAATGTACCCTCAAATTTCGTTATTCTCTATTCTTCACAACAACAACAAAGTGTAATAAACTGCTGTTCGGAAATGCTTATATGGATAGCGATCAGTTCTTTCTAGAAAACGCAATAATAATATATTGGACTATATTTTTTATTCATCTTTATAAGCGGCACAGCAAAATAGCATATTTACCACCAAACTGTGTTGTGTTGAATAAGATAATATTATAGGGGTGGGGATGAAGAGATGCCGCAGAGGTATACACATAATCATGAGCTGTGGGACGCTGTGCAAGCAAGTAAATACTGGGTATTCAGTGTTCAAATATGTATGGAAATGAAGTCTGTAAAAGAAAAACAGCCATGCAACTTTTATACATACACAATAATAAAGACAGTTGGCATTTGCATCCAAACTCCTTTATAATTTATTTCAAACTTTCCCATTCATTTATGTATTTTTAAAGATATTATTTTATAGAGTTATATTTGAGTTGAGACCTAGAACTACATTACATTACATTTAGCTGACGCTTTTATCCAAAGCGACTTACAAGTGCGTTCGACCAACAAGATACAAACTAGAAGAAAACAGAATCATATAAGTACATCAGGTTTAATAGAGCTAAAACATTTCAAGTGCTACTCAACTGGCTTTAGATAAGCCAGTCCTTTATTAGTATATAAGAGCTTTGTTAATAATTCTATCGCTCGAAGTGGAGTCGAAAGAGATGAGTTTTCAGTCTGCGCCGGAAGATGTGCAAGCTGTCTGCTGTCCTGATTTCAATGGGGACTATATTTCCAAGTTACTACAAGGATTGCTTTCAGTGAATATTCCTTAGATAAATAAAGGTTTACAAAAGTTAAAATCAACCATATTTTCTGGCATGATCATCAGTCACACTTGAACTCAGTAGCAGCAGTTATTGTGTATAACTTTGTTGGTTTTGAAGCTTTACTGTGCAACCTCTATAGCCAAAGCATTGTTGTGTTGAACACTGACTGCTGCAGAATCTCGTTAATCACCACCATTCATCTGTCATCTGTTTGGTTTCATTTGTTTACAGCAGGAGGTTTTCACTTCCTGTTTGAAATCGTTCTCTTTTCATTTCTGCACTAATGTCATTATGGAATTGTTTGTTTGCTGCTTTTAAAAAAATTGTTTTTAAATCTCTTCCATATTGCCAATGCATTTAGAGATTATATTGCATATCTCTTTATATCTGTTTATGAACTGATTTCTAACAAGCGTTATAAAGGTCAGAGGAAATAAAAAGTCAAGCAAGTGACGTCAATCTGAGCTTTATTAATATCTTCTGTGATAACTGATTACAGGATTTTCTTATAACATATTAATTAATTAATTAATCGTACTCTTCTTCCATGCTTCTTCTCTTTTTGTGTACACATGTTTAAAGACTTCCCATTAGATGGTGCCACTGAGCTGAACTACATTTCAATGTTTTTTTCTATTATATTTTAAATCTAAATACTTGTGCATTTTCCAATTCGACCAATGCCACTTATGCCTGAAAGATGCCACAACATGACTTCCTGTTTATGTGTCACTATTTACTCCTCGGTATTGAATGTTCACCCACATTGATAAGAGTGAGTACCAAAGGTCATGCAATGAAAATAGTTTATAATGTAAATATCGGGGGTGGCGAAGTCGATAGGGACTTGGCTTGACAACTGGAAGGTCACCAGTTCAAGTCCCGGCAAGACCAAGTGCTACCGAGGTGTCCCTGAGCAAGGCACCGTTCCCCACACTGCTCCCGGGGCGCCGTTCAAAATGGCAGCACACTGTTCCTAACACTAGGATGGGTCAAATGCAGAGAAACAATTTCCCCACGAGGGATTACTAAAAGTCCATCTTAGTCTTAGACCCTCACAAATATTTGTTTCTTGCTGCAACACAGCTGCGATAAAAGCCTGTCCCTAGAGATATTTTATATAAAGCGTTATATAATTGCACTCCCTTTGGGCTGCTGCATTGGGCAGTCACTGTAACCCTGTAAAGATTTGTGAAATAGATACCATGGAAAATAGGTATTTGAAAGTATACATATTTAAAGGTTCCATCCTTCGTCTTCCAATTCTATTAATCTCGTTGGACAGATGTTGTCACTGCATACATTTGGAAATACTGAGAATTATAAAGAAAAGGAAGCAACTTTACACCACATACATGTCAAATCTTTGTGGATATCTATCCCATAACTCCCCATAAGAACATATTGAGCAGCAGATGAGCACAGACCGAGATCACCGCCAATCCCACGTCAGGGATTGGAAGCACACAGGTGGATGCTGTGGAGGTGGAGGAAGCAAACAAGAAGGCATTCAGCACAGCGGGGCCAAAGCGGTAAAGAAAGGGGAGCAACAGCATCAGAGAGCAGCATCATTAGAGTGCAGAGCAGGGAAACACAGAGGTGCATATGGGACGGCTTATTATCCAGGAGTTTTTGTTAGTGGCAAACATAACTTTGTCTGGCTAAGTTTTCTGCCTGAGCATCTCAAATGATTTATTTAATGAGAAACCACACTGCAAGAGAGAGTATCGGCTGAAGTGTGTGTACAACATAACCTTAAACTTATTCCAAAACAATGAGTGAATAAGCCACTCAAGGATTTCCATCATATATTGGATTTTAGCTGCAGATATTTCCTCCCATTCAGCCATTAGAAGGAGAATTCTTCCTTAAAGCTAGAATCTGTACTGAGATAAAACGGGGAAGTATGAGAAAGTTACAAATTCCTGTTTTTATTTCCTTTTTGATTCACCCCCAAACCGTTGGTTGAATGTGCGATTCATAAAATGTGTTGCAACTCAGTTCAGATAAATGATCTAGAAGTCACACCCTCATGTCTGTCAGTGTCTGTGAGAAAGTTGCTACAGTTCATGAGTGGGTGCACAAAACTAACATTGGCTGCAAAAATTCAATCGAAGAAATTACTAATAATTCTGGAAAGAATCTGTACTGCTGACAAGAAACTTTTCAATTTACTACTCATGGCTTCATCAATAGCTGTCATTAATGAAAGAAAAAGAAACTCATGAGGTGATCAATATTTATTTGTAGAAGGCACTAAAAAACTTGTGTAAAAAGTCACAAAATGTTCAAATTATAATATTGTCTACTACTTTATTTCCTGGAAACATTTATAAGGTAACAACAATACATTCAATGATAAGAGTAATGTTACGGCTGGCTAGCTACCTAACAAGGAAGGAAGACACACACAATTGTGGATTTTAACTGATATTTATTTATGAAAGTAAGAATTAAATAATGAATAGGTGATAGCAGTGAGATATAATCATGCTGCCTTCTTTCTACTACTCCAGGTGCAGACTTAATGGGTGCTTAATCTCAATGTTTACTCACTTTGAATCGTCCACACATTTGAAATTCCAAAAGGACTTAAGCTGCAGATGTAACATGGATTATAACTGACTCCACCCTTTGCTGAATTTACCATTGTTTATAAAGGGTTGACACCTCTTTCAAGAAAAATAAACATCCACCTATTACCGAACACAGGAGAGTGTGTTGCCATTGTGATGGATTGGCTCTCTGAAGCAAGTTTCATATATTGATGGCGTGAAAGGATCGGGAAACCAGTGGCTGCCTGAAAAGTGGGAGAAACAGATTAATCATGGTCAGCATGTTACAGGAAGTATGCATGCTTTGTAGTTAATGAGCTGAAACGAGACAAAACACTAGCGATGTAATGATCCACAACAGAAAAATACAACAAAACCAGACTCAACAATTCCCTCCCAAACTTTCGACCTGTTCAGCAGCTGTCATCGACATCCGCCTCACCACTGGCGTCTTTAAATATTGTTAAAAAAATCCTAACCAGATCTTCTTGTCCTCAACAGCTAAAGACCTTGTTCAAAAACCACATTCCACAACTTTATTTAACCGTGCACAGCTGCAGTATTTATGCAGAAATGTAAGTTTGTGTTCTGAGCCTGCCCTGCACAGGGATCAATATCCTGGTAACAAATGACCATGAGTTAAAATGCAACCTCAGAAACTCCCTCTGGAGTGAACTTTGGGGTTTTAGCCTTTGTAGGCCATTTACACAAAAGTATGTAAAGCCCCTAAAAAGCACAATAGGGCCTCTTTTAATGGTCAACCAGTTTAGAGGCCTTCATATTCAATGCATTTGACAACCTAGAATACTTTACAACGTTCCTGTCAGTTAATCAAAAATCCTCAGTCATCCAGAGCTCTAAGGTGCTGTAACATTTAACCATGATTTGCAATACTTTTTCCAATATTTGATATGAGCCCTCAACATTACAGAAGGATATACAACATTTAAAGTAACAGGTAATATGGAGTAAAAGTTTGCATCAGCACTTCAATGGTAACCACAGACATTTATATAACAATTTTAGAGTTAGATAAACTCCGGTAATGTACACATAGTTTGTGAGTAAATCACCACGCACCAAGAAACACCTTTGTTTTACCTCGCGGTTGTCATGGTTACCGTTCCCCGGTGTGCCGTTCCTGACAACACTGTCATGATCTGATGGATGTGTTTAATTACTGCAGGCTCCAACCCTGAAACACACACACACTTCATTTATGTGCACATTTTTAAACAAGCCAGCAGAACACCAATGCATGATAATACAAACTGTCTACAAACTGATATTTCTGCAATGTTTCCATGCAACTATCTGAACTCAATTTAAATACACAGGTAGGAACAGCAACAGTCAATAAGTACAGTCACATAGAAACACTTTCCAAGTCATTAACCCTCATTCCTGCATTCTTCAAACTAAGGTAAAAACAAATAGAGCCAACACATGCTCTCTGCCCTCATTAAAAATGACAGCCTCTGTGTATTGCTTTAGTTATGCAACATTTGATCAAAGAGGTAACATCCAATAATGTAGTACTTTTTCACTTTTCTGTCAACAAATGTGACATATGATTAATGATTAATTTGCACTGCAACTGCAGAAAACGCAGTAAGGATCTGTGGCTCACATGTGTACTGATTTATTAAGATGGGATGCTTTTATACGCTGCTAAATATGCTCTTACTTCTATTCCAAACATTTGTTAGTTTCAAAAAAGCACAGTAGAGCAGTGCATGTTTTAAACATTCATGGACTTGGCTAGCAGAACCACAATTGAACCTTCTGAAACAACAAATACTGTTATTGTATCAGAAACGTTACCAGTGCCAGACATTCTTGAGTCATTACTGCTTAAGCTCTAGCAATTTGAAGAGTAACAAAGAGAAGTTGTGGTCAGTGAGAATACATCAAAAATAAGTCAGTCAATTAGTGGCTGATGATTCCACCTGAGGCCATATTATGGTCACCTGTGTAGCCACGTGGGAGGGGTTTTGCTGAAACAGAGCATTTGAATGAATAAATTGTTCCGATAATTAGTCGAACAGCCTTGTTCTGTGTGTCTGACTTGAAAAACTGCCAAAGTAACACTGCTGTCACGTTGGAACTTCAACGACACGTTTTCCACGTTATTGTGTCAAGATTCCACAGTAAAGTGAAACCTCTGCTGGCGAGGAAGGAAGTAAAATCACATGCTGCTGTTGCGTTACGCAGGACGTGGGGAATGACAGTAAACCCTGCGCTCTAAATCCACTGGAACCACGGGAGGACCACTGCGATTGTTTCAGTGTAAAAACCAGACAAACTGAGCATCAATGAAGACACGAGAGAGAGTGTCACTTTCTAAGGTCACTTTCCACTCTGGCCTGCGGTGAATATGAATGAAGAATGACCAATGGTGAGTAAATAACGCGAAGGCGCGTAGGTCAAATCAGCTCGCGTAAAGCGCTGACGCACTGAAAAGAAACATACATTTAACACATACAATTCTACCCGAATGAAAGCCGAAGTTAGGTTCGTGTTAGTGTAAAGATGATGGAGCACTCTTGTAAAGTTTGTGGCATGTAAAGCAGTGTAGTGAACCGGTATCGAAACTTACCGAAGAGACCTGCATCCGTCCGTCCCCGCTGAGCCTCTGGAGGACTTGCTGTATTGTTGACTTAATGGTTCTACAAACAGGGGAATTCCGTGTTTATAACCTCCCATCGGCCAGTCAGAGGGAAACTGAAAGATTTGGATTTAAGGGAATTGACTTCTGGGTTAAAGGAATTGACAATCTCGGGTAGGACTGCTTTAAACTCTACAGAAATCAATGTTTATGTCCAGGAAAAGGTTACAACATATTTTAATGTAAAAATGATTAGTAAAGTGGTTGTATAAAAAAGTTTTAAAGACGTTACATTTGTGATATAAGGGTATTATACTATTGGATTTTTTTTAATTGATGATGCATTCACGTACAATGTCACGGTGGGTCAATTTGAACTATTTCCAATGTATGTACAACTGTATTATGTTTGTCTATGTTATGTATTATTCTACAAAGTAAAACACCTATAAAAGTGGGGTACAAAGTGCACTAAGTCAAGTATTCTACCAGTTCCATCACTTAATTAATATGTGCCATCCCTATAGGTTATTGTTTCTCCTCTTAAAATATTAAACTTGGGGATGTTTGGTCCTGCTGTGAGATTGGGAGAGAAATTCAAGTGTTTTTTTTTAACAAAATGCAATACCACCTAAAATTTAAAAAAGAAGAGGTCAGAAAAAGCAAGCTAAGATGCTGCAGGTAAATACAGGGATTAAACAAGACAAAACAATAAAATAGGTTATAAAGCACTGTCATGTATTCAAATCTCTCTTATTGTACATGTTATAAAGGGTCTCAGCATAAGAGTTTTAGATTGCTTTGATCATGGAGCCATGTGTGGGAACAAAGCCTTCTAAAATCAGTGGATATCCAATAACCCTTGGTATTTCATTTAAGGGCCAAGTGTGTGGGTTTTTCTTCATTAAAAACTGTATAACATGCAAACATATTTTGGATGAGTTGTCTGACCTCCCTCTCACCATCAGCCTCTTCTCTGCATCAGTCTGCTTGCTCTTCTGCTTCTACCTCTATCGCTGTCCTGTGACAACAAAAGGACTCCCAAAGAAGTTAAAAACGATTACATGCCGGTGGTGCAACCCGTTATCAACAACGTAGTAAGTAAGACACTACTTCTAATAATAAATGAATACGTAATAGATCCGACTGAATGGATACTTCTCATGAATTGCACTGATAAATTGAACCCAGGTTATATGCAAAATCCTTCAATGACTTATTTTACGAAATCTAGTCGAAGTGGAAATACTTCATGAAAAGTTAGAGCAGCACTTTAAAAAGCAACACTAGAGATGTGGATCACACAAAAGCAGCTGCAACCTAATATTAGGTATTAGATGTTAACCATTTTGTGTGCTCCACTTGAAAGTCAGATTGAACCCTCCCGACTTCCTTTGTTTTTAAATATTATTAGGGGTATTGGTTGCGAAATTGACATCCAGTCATACACGAAACTAAAGCAGAACGAGGAATGAAGCTGGTTTTAACACGTTTCTTCAAACAAAACGGGAAAAGAGGACTCTCTGATACACATCTCCAATTTCTACGGGACTTTGCTTTTGGAAAACATATTTTGAGTCCTCTATGGGAAGTTTTCTTTGAATAGATAACTTTAAAACAACTGTGCTTGTGCTATTAAAAGAACACTTACCAACTTCAAAATGATCTGAAAAAGCAATAAAAACGTTTCACAAACATAATTAACAAGAGCTAAGAGTTAAAACTAGCTGCCCTGTTTTATAACGTCTAATATTTACCACGGTAATGCTTTCATCCTTTCAAGAATGGGATTATCACAACCTTGTTGCAAAACTCATCCTGCCCAGCACTGAAACACAGGATCCGTGGCTGCACGGTAGAAAACGCGGTGAGAAATAATTATTTTAATGTTTTATTATTTGTTTTAGTGAATGATTTGCTGAGTAACACTTGAAATATATATATTTTTTTAAACGCTTAAAAAGGTAACAATAAACCCCATCACAGTTCAATAAATGTTGGGGAAATGTTTGGTGTACATTAAAATCAGACCACCAAGAGAGCCGATATCAGTCTCATTCAACAGTTTGTGATAGATTTGATTAAAGGCTGCCCATCATTTTGTTGTTGCAGTCAGCAGTTGTAGTGCAGCTGTTCTCCAGACCAAAGGTTGTTCAACATACAACAAAAAAAGGCTGTGGTCACTGACTGAGGGCGTGCACTGTATGACTCACATTTTGACTCCTCTCCCTCTCTTCTGCAGGATATTGTGAGCACCTTGCACAACCTAACCTGCAAAATGAGAATTTTGAATTTAAACATTTATCCCACACACCTTCTGGTCACGACCGTCCTAAATTCAGTAAGGTGCCCCTGTCACGAGAAACCGGTAAGTCTAGGCATATTTATTTGTGTAAAAATGTAAAGATTCGTTAATAATTGATTTCATAATTCATCTTTAGAAAAGGGGCAGCAGAGGGTGACCTGCTTACATGTTTTCCATTTCTCCATGTGAGTTTTGGCCCTTTAATGTTGGCGGACTGCAGTCGTGTTTCTGTTTGCCACAGAGAAGGTGACTCAGTGAGGTTATATAGCCTGTGTGAGTGTATCCAAACATAAACCTATTTGAACCCAAGTACACTCATATTTGGTGCCCGGCAGAAAGTAGCCATAGCGGAAAGTGTGCCTGAAGAATGTTCGGTCACTCTATGCCTTTTTGTGCACCAAAATGAAATGAAAAGTGATTTGGGGCTTTTTGATTCACCTGTCTGCATTTTAACTACTTTTCAGTCTGTGATTTATTTGGAATCTAATTTGTATTTTACTCAAAACACCACCTTCTTTCCCCTTGAATGAACAATGTTTTGTGAACCTGTACTTCATTTTGAACAGTCTAGGATCAAACTGAATGATTCAAGATCATAGTTTTTGTCTGAGTCATACAGTGAAGTAAACAGTCTAATTCTGCCTCAGGCTTCACCAGATCAGTACAGGTTTAAAATGCTGACTCACAATGTACCATGGAAGGTTTTGGTTTGATTCTTGAGTTTGAATGGGCATACTGTACTTTGATCAAACCCCATATACGGCAGGAGCAGGATGGTGTTCTGTGATTAGTCAGTTATCAGAGGTCAGACTTAGATTTTTCCTGGACAGACTGTGGATTGAGCCGTGTGTCGTCTTATAAGGGGATACATATGCATCAATAATGTGTGTACTGCATTCTGATGCTGCGCTTATCACTAAAAGGCACTTGCATAACTGATGTTTATGTCATTGTTTGTGTGTGTTGACATCTATTTACTAGACCAAAGAACCAAGCATGGGGTTAAGGAGGAGAAAGGCAGCGAGAAAAAGAAGAAACAATCAGAAGAAAAAGGAGATTAAAAAACGTTGCAAAGCCGAGGCAATCCTGTCTGCCATGACCAACTGCTACCAGATGCTGAACACTATCCTAGCAGACACCTGAGACCAAACTCAATGTGAAGCAAAACCATGCCATCCATGCCAGTTCTCCTCTCTCGCAGTCCTTCACTGGATTAAGCAAGCGGAATCTTCCATCTTATTTAAGCTATCAGTAAATCTCTCTTGCAACATGTTATGGACGTTGACTACTGACTCTTTTAGATACATTTGTAAGCTACGCCAACACAAGCTATTAAGCCCACTGGAAGTTCCAAGGCTGTCTGACATAATGGATTATTGCACACTGTGCTGAAGGCCAAGTGTGCATTATTAACCGCCCACTTTTGTGAAGAGTTCACAAGAATGTCTTGCAGACTCCATGTTCACTGAACAAAGAAGCTCTTTGACGTTGGTGGCTGTATTCAAAAAGGAAACTAAGATGTAAAGCTGCAAACTGTTTTTAAGCAAAACGATGACAGTTACTGGCACTCAGTGATGCCAGATCAAGCATGAGCAGGAAATATTAAGGTGCTCAAGTAGTTTTACTTTCACTTTGGCACAGAAACCAGCCCTGACACGTCTAAGTTAAAGCTCATTTGTTTTAGGCTGTGTGTCAAGTCTTTGGTACTCTCCTTAAAATGACATTGTGTTGATTCATCATTCAGTGTCATTAATCACAGTGTAATTGATATTTTAAAAGCAGTCTGCCACAGATGGCTGATTTCGACACACAAACCTGACTGTTATGTCTAATAAGCTTTCCTGTCGCATAAAGTTGGTGATTTGATTAATGGTGCCTGCCTAATGAATGAAAAAGAGTCCTATTAGGGTGGTACAGTATTTTGGGGAGCAAAATGCTTAACTGCCACATTTGTTGTTCTACATTATTTTTTAATAGGCCATTTGTTGGTTTGCGTTCCAGAAATAATATTGGCAGGCAGCCTTTTCCCCAACAGATATGTTCTTCCTGGGACTAATTAACTTGTAGCTAATTTCTGTTTGTAAAATGTTGCAACTACTTTTGTATATGGCATATGTATTCCAAATATATTTATCTATAAAACAAAGTAAAGGTGTATGTGTAACTTATTTAATTCTATAGTATTACAGCAGTAATGTTTTCCCGTCTCTTCAACAGACTCTCACAACTCCCACAGCTGTCTTCATAGACATTTATTGATGGTGGAAAATAAAATACATGCCATCAAGTGCACAACTGTAACCAGGCTAACGATCAGTACAGGAAACACACCTGTCAAACATGTCATTCATGTAACATATAATTACGTTTCATGGCTTATTGACAATTGCAACCTTAGTTCTCAAAGGAATGAAAGAGTACTTAGTCACTGTGCCTTTCCCTACCTGTCAATGTGCGCCAATATCAAGGAGAGGGGTCAATCCCTTCCATAAAGAGCATTTGACCCTCAATACCTTAATGCACTGAATACTGACTCAATAGTAGGACATTGTAACTGGAACACAACCCAAGTTCAATTAGGTTTCATTTCAATCCAAAAACACATTTTAATTCCGTTTGACATTAACAAAAAAGATTCAGTCGTAGTTCATTCAGTAAAAGCGAAATGGAAGAAGAAAATAAATAATTAAAATGAGGGGGAATAAAATACTTTTGCTACTTTTGTTTAGAGACGTCAGGCGGACAATGCTGATCTTAAGCTGAAACAAGCGGTGCCTGTAAAGTGACCTCCTTTTTGGACAAGGTGATCCAAAATTACAACACACTTACTTTTAGAATAACCACGTTGTTTTCCTCAGTAGTCAATCATATTGCACTTCAATTGGAACAGTTTGAGGAAATGGGATTAAGGAGTGCATTTCAGATCACGGTTGAATGAGGATAGAGAAACCAGGGAAATAACACCTCCAAATGACTCGTATTACATTGTACAACCGGCTTCTTCAATTCGATCTAATCTCTTACTCATCTGTTCTCTACTTATGTTTTTTCC